GTTGCTGGGATTTTTCAAGCTCAATACACTTAGAGGACATCATATTCGTTTTTTATAATAGCTTCCCACCTTTCCTTTCTTGTTTTTTTTAAATGTTGCATTTATAGAATTTCCCTTATAAGTATGATGTTAACTTGAGCTGTTTCTTCATTTCTTCAATTATAATTTGATTCTTTCTCTTTTTCTGGTGCTTAACCTTTGGTTGGTTCAGTTAAAGAAATGGCTCTTGAACAACACTTTTTAACTCTCCATATTGAATTATTACCTATTTACAATATATAATTATGTATAATTTTGTTCTACTACTATTGTACCTGTTACTTCATGATCAGTGTCCCTGCCAATGCTATTCTGGCACATCAAACCTCACAGTAATAATAAATTTTTCATTGCACTTATAAGTGAATAAAGCTGCTCAGAGATTACCAATTGGAATGTCATGAACTTCATTATATAACGATATGTACAATTAAACATCCCTACTAGAGGGATGGAGAGAGAGAGGTTTCATCCCAATGACATGTATTCACTCACATTCAATTATGAGAATGTAAAATTAAACATGAAGCCAACACAAATTAAAAACAAACAACTCTTTATAGTAAGCTATCTTCAAAATCTTCACTACTCTTGCTTACAATGTAAAACTTTTTCTATCCTACTATAGCATCAATGATAAAAAAAGTTAAATAATCAGTTGAAATATTAATATTTTTATCTTCTTTGATATACAGTCAGTTCTTCAGTTACTTTCTACAATGAACATAATTTCATCAAATAACTAGTTTGATTAATATCAAAATCTACAAACTGTTCATAGAATTGCTGAAGCTTTTTCTCCTTCTGTATCACTGCATTTAGTTTGTATGAATTGAAAGATCATCTACACAATGATCTAAATGTCTATACCAGCTACTTTTACTATTAATAAAGGGAGGGATGTAAATATTGTTTCAGTTAATGCTTTTATTGTTACAAGTGGTCTAATTGATAGCAGTGCTGCTGTTACTCTTCTTCCAAATACTAATACTGATGGATGCCAATTTAATAACTACTTATTGGAATTAAGAGAAATGTCTAGAGACAGTTCAGTCTCCTTCATTTATTCATTGTGACCAGTTTTTATTACACCCTCTTTCCTCTCTTTCTTACTCATTCACATGACTATACATTGGCCACCAGCTTTGATATTTTTATCTCTGACAAGAATAGATTTTCTTTTAAACAATTCAGATTTAAAACTCTTTACAAGTCTAGCCTTGCTTTAGGCTTTTGTATAAATATAAAAATTCAGAGACAATTCAATATTACTAGACAGTTCCACTAATGTGGGGCAGGCTTGCTTAACTTAAATCCATATAGCTCTTATATAATATCTCTGATTAATATAGATATCGCTTTATGAACTGCAAAAAAAAATAAGAAAACCTTGACCCATTTCTATAGTGATGATGTATGAAAAATTTGCATATTCTAGCCAAGTTGTTCCCAGGGAATTTAACTTATTGTTCACTTTACTGGGAAACTGAAGATCTATGATCTATAAAAAAAAAAAAAAATGATAATACTATGATTCTTATACTAATAATTTTTGTTATTATTTAGCTTAGCTGAAATTGTCTGACTATAAGGTGGAGGGTTTCTTAAGGAAATCTTTTGTAAAGCACAAAGAAAAAAAAAGTCACTTTCTTTTACATATAATTTGAAAGAATAAAACTATATACTAAATACTGATTATTGAAAAAATGTTGATTTTTAACTTTGATTTGATTTTAAATTTGATAGAGTAGTATCTATCATTCTACCTCGGTTCCGTTATAATCTTTAAACTTATATAAAATTAACTACCGAAATTTGTATAAATATGTAGTAATATTTTCAAAATGATCTCTTAAACAATGCTTTCTTATAATCAGGCTGAATAACCTTAAAAAATATCAGAGTACTACTTACTTCTAAGCTGTAGTAATATCAGCATAATATTAGTTCAGTTTTATTATAATCTATTGACAACTTCTACAAAATTCAACTTCATCTGACACAAAGCAATATTTGTAGAGTAATCACACTTGCTAATGATGGCTTTTATGGCCAATTTGCTTACACAGTACATTTTCAGTTTTAACCTTTATCACTGTATGTGACTTCATTTGCTGTACAAAAAGTTTATCATACCATTGAAGGTGACTCTAATCCATAAACAATAGTGTTTTTGAATTTCGTATTTGTGTTGTCATATCCTTCTATGGCAACAAAACACAACTTTGAGAGAAATTAACAATAAGGATACTGTAATTGAGAAGCCTTGAAAAAGAATGCAGTGGGAAGGGAAGTAATAGTATTTTGTGAAGAAATAAAAGACAATATTATGCCTGTCCTAGGTAGAAATCTTATTTGATTTACAATGAATATTAATATGATTACAGATTCAGACAAAGCATGTAAATTCTATATTAAGAAGAGAGACAAGTAAAAAAAAAAAAAAAAAAAAAAATAATAATAATATGAAATAAATTCCTAAATATTCCATTGCTACTTGGCAAGGAAACAGATTGCTGTAAGATGTTTTATTTCAGTTGATATAGAGATCATTATATTAATTTTAACTTTTTGAAATGTTGTGATGAATTTAGTAGAACTGAAGTTTGTCAACACAAATAAAAAAAGAGGGAAAGAATAAGCTGGCTTATAAGATATCTTGCTTTAGTGACATTGGCAAAAGAGAAAATGAGTGGATGACAGGTGAAATTCTTGAGATGATGAAAAAGAGACAACAAATAATGCTAAGGAATGGTACAGAGTTAAAAAAAAAAACCCCACTGAGCACAGAAATTAGAAACAAATGTAGACAGGCTAAAGAGGAAGGGTTCAATGAAAAATGTATAGAAATAGAAAAAATAAATATCATAGATAAGGCAAGTATACGCAAAAGAATTAACAGGACAAATGATGTGCTCCTCAACAGGTTGTATTAAATCAAAGGTGGGAACAATAATAATAGAAAAAATACTCCAAAAATGAAGCACATACATTAATTAAATAATTATTTCACTTTAAGGGTAACCTGTAATACGCAAAAATATGAAAGGGCCAGAAATATTAAAGTTTGACGTAACATTGGTACTGGACAAGACAAACAGGAACAAAGCGACAGAACCAGATGTGGTCGTAACAGAAATGCTCTCATCCTTAGACCATCATCAACAAGATTACAAATAATAAATGAAATATATGAAAGTGGTAACATACTAGAAAACCTCAGTAAATCCATCTTCATTACATTACCTAAGAAACCAGGTGCAAATTAACTGGAAGCTAATCACTTGTAAAAGGATAGAAAATCCAGTGGGTACACAAAAATAGAAAGGAGATTATGACAAGGATGTCGTCTCACCCCACCCCAGATTTATTCAAACTCTAAAGTGAGCCTATCCTAAGGGAGCTGGAGATCCTACCAGGATTTATTATTGGTGAACATAATCTTAACAGTATAAGATATTCACACATCAGAAAATCTACAAGGTAGTAAAGGAAAGCAAGAATAAAGGACTAACCATCAACTGTAAGAAAAAAAATAAACCAAGCAGTGAACTACAAATTGGAGATGCCAACATCAAACCAGTACAGAATTTCAAATATCAGGGCAGTGTTTTAACATAGAATGGAAAATGTGACACTAGAAACTGAATGAGCATTGGAATAGCAAATTATATATTTCAAAAGCTAAGCAAAGTATTAAGAAACAGGAAAATTTTCATAGAAACAAAGAAGAGTTTTGAACTTAAGTAATATCAATCCTCCTATGCTGAACACTCTCCTCACAGATGAAGAGAGGACTGGAGGCAATAAATGTGGTTCTACAGAAGGATGCTGAGAATACTATGGATGGAGCATATAAGCAACAACAAAATCTTAATGAAAATGGAAACAAAAAAGACATATACACGGAATCAGAAATAGATAGTTGAATTTTCTTGACACATAATGCAGAAAGAAGGCTTGGAGAACTTGACACTCACAGGATATATCAAAGGCAAAAGGGACAGAAGAAGGCAATCTACCTGATGAGCTTGTGTGAATGGAAGGTGGAAACAGTGGGTAGAAGGGATGGCAAAAATACTAATGTTACAAGGGATAGCAAATTGTGAAGAGCTATGATCACTTGCATCCTGAAGGAACACAGCACATAGAAGACATCTTGAAATTGGGTTGGCTGTCTTTTTCAGATAACCCTGATGAATTATGGGAAATACAATCAACCTTTTGGTTTTTACGTGCATGGTAATTTCTTGCACAATAATTTACAAATCTCAACATTTTCTCATGAAAATGCTCAGTGTATGTTTATACTTCTATACAGACAATCAAAACTATATCTAACCATGTATCCGACTTTGAACAGTTCCTGGAAATAAAACTTGATCAAAAAATTGTTTATATTAAGAAGACTTTACATTTTAAAGTTTGCTCTAGAATCTTATATTTTATCACTGTCAACACATTTTCCCCCACATGAATTTAAAATAACAAGTAATATGTTCTTTACTTTTTTGGTAATTTACAAGTTTGTTACACATGCATGCTTTTCAAGACCAACTCATGATTAATTACTATTTTTCCCCACAGAAATATTTTGTTGAAAGTTATAAGAAAACAGTACAACTTCAATAATTTCACAAGTAATCACTTCAATCATTCAAGTTAATATTTTTATATATACACACACACACAGATATAATATTAATTGACTGATTTTGATTTATCAACACTTTGCAGGTTATTTAAAGTCAGAAAATATTTTTAGATTGTAAGATTTTTTGAGATAATGATTTAGTAATACAAGTCTTACTAATTAACCCATAACTGTGGGGAGAAGAGATGGATTAATACCTTTCCCAAGACTATTTGCATGTAAGTGATTATAATGAAGCCAGTTAGAACTTGGCTTTTTGATTAACAATTCCGAGCCATTATCCATTACACTACCCATACATCCCAACTTACAGCACTTGGTATTCCCAAGTATTCATTCATCTAAGTACTGACCAAGCTCAACATTGTTTAACTTCAGTGATCATACAGGAACCAGTGTTTCAATGTGATTTGGCCATAAGACTGTAATATTTATTAATGATTTAAAAAAATATTTCATTAATTTACAACTTTAATTGAATTAGAGTTTGAGATTTTCTTGTAAAATTAATTGAAAGTATGCAGTTTTCTAAAACAATTTAACCACTTTTTTAGTCCTTTTATATGACTTATCAGGCAAGTGTAATCAGAAGTTACTGGATAGAATGGCTTAATTACATTCCCATACTGCCAAAAACACTCTGAAAAACAAAATAAATTTTCTAACAATGTAGAAAGTTAATTAAGATATATGTAAAATCCTTGCTTATTCATAGATTGAAATGCTTCTTTATAGAATAACATGGTCACTTCATTTTCTTTAAAAATATTCCTGTCTCATTCATGAATTTAAACTTTAAGAAAATTTTTTCTTTAAAGAATATTAGTTAATATAAATATAGGTACCCCACTAATGATACTCAAGTTTAACATGCATTTGAAAAAATGGAAAATCTTTCTTAAATTTTTAATTTTAGTTTTAATTCCAAGTTAATAGATTAAATTTAATATTTACAATAATTAAAATACTTTAGTGCATTTCAAACCAAATTTAAATCCATAAATTTTATCAGTGAATTTATCCATATTGATAGATCTGTCAACACAAAATAATTCTCTTTTAAAAAATCTTTCAAAAATACTTTTCTGAAGTGTTATTTGAGGAAAATTAGTTGATTAAGAGATTTGGTCTTGGGTAATTGTAAAACTAATAGTTTGGAAATTATACATAGTTCCCTTTAATCCTAATACAGTAAATTTTTGTTGTGAATGAATGCCTGTGTTCAGTAAACCCAATCTAGTAACAGATTTCTCTTATTTGGGCCAAGTTTTGATCTAAATAAGAATGACTTAGTAAACAAATCTCAATGGTGGAGGAACACTAAAATTATCAACACACTGTTTAATTTAACTTTATATATTAACAAGTATAGACATAAAAGCTTGGTTGTAGTGGAATAGTGAAGGAATTTCTAAAACCGTGTTCTCTTCAATTCTTCACAAGGATTTCAGCAAAATGTTCTAACATGCAAAATCAGTTTGAATTTTCTCTTTATATATTTGAAATGGGACATGTTATGTTCAGACAGATTTTGTTTTCAGATTTTATATAGTGAGAAACTCAATACTATGTTGTACTGAGGGGTGGAGTAATTGACAATGTTAAAGGTCAACAAACACAAAATAGGTTAAAAGGTCCTTATTTATCTACTAAATAAACTCTTATTGTAGTACCATGATAAAGAGATTTAAATGACATCAACAATAATAGCTTTGCTTCTTTGCATTTAGATATGATTAATTTATTTTCTTTAGGAATGATTCTTTTTTCCATATACTAATCAAGATATTAGTTACATCATCACCTTATTAATGTAACTATGATTATGTTGCTGTATACTAAATTCCTATATTTGTTTCATTCAATTTACACTTGTATATTTATTGATGTACACATACAAGCAAGAATAGTTTTAAATAACTATATTTACTGATGTCTCTAAAACATTCTTTCCAATGAAGGACACTGGAAAGACCTTGGTGTATTTAGTTGCAAGGGAGTGACTGATGTGAAGGAAATAAAGATACTAGGAATTTACACTGAATTTTCTCACTCACACACAACACATACAATGGGGTGCTGAAAAGTTCTCAGCCTGATTAAGAAGAATAACTAAGAGCCATAAAACATCCATACCATTCCATATATTAACCCCAAATTTCAACATCATTTTTCTCAAGTTTCTTTAACCCTTACACACAATTCTTAGTGTTGATTTTGGGAAGTGGTTTGGCTCAATAACTTTTCAGCAGCCCATTGTGTGTGTTTGTATGATATAAAACAATTTGGAAAATGTTTACTTTGAAATGTTTCCCCAATCATCTGACCTCATCAGAAAAATAATTTGATTTCACAATATATACACTCTTCTTTTTGTATCAGTAAGCTGTTGTGTAATTTCTTCAACTTCTTAATTACATCTTATAACCAGCTACTTACATCCATTAATATATACACTTCCTTCCCACTAAATATCTTCTTTACACCTGAAACCCCCTTTCAATGAGCCTTAAACAAATTATTTGATTCCTTCCTTCATACCTTTTGTCTTTCCAACCAAACACCTTTTTTATGACTTCTATATGAACCAATTCTCCTGTCAGCAAAATTGTCAGCTTTGCTCAGATAGTCAAGTATGTTACACATTCAGCAAAAGTTGACCTTTGTTTTTAATCTACTCTCTTCCCATCCAATTGTTTTCCTCTCCTACAAATGGTCACCCAACCAGCTACTGTTTTAATTTCTTCTGTACACATTTCATCTCTGCCATCCAAAAGCAAGTCAATTATTAGTCAGAATGATTGTTTATAGTTTATTGCTTTTATTTGCGTAGGCACAAAATTGCTGACAGTTCTGTGGGAATAATTCATTTCTATGCAAGTTTGCTTTTTTTCTGATACAGTCAAGTTGGGAATCTTAAATGTTCCTTCCCTCATTGTAGATATTAAAGGAATCTCTTTTTCATAATTGAAACAGTTAGAAGAGAGTGTGAAATCAAGGGAGGTGAGTTGTTTAGCATTGCCGTTAAATGCATGCCTGTTGACATGGTTCCCAGGCTGCATAACAATATGACACAATGTATTATGTTGCCCCAGGATATGAAGATAGTGTAGCTGGGAAACAATGTGGACTGCTGGCTGATAGGCGAGTAAATTAAGCTGACAATAAAGCTTCATTTATACTGATAATTTTAAGTTTTAATTTTTTAAAATATTGTAATTCTGTTAATATATAGCTCCATGTAAATTTTCCGATGTCAGCTTAGTTAACCCAAAAACATATTGAGAAAAATTGATTCAGAATAATTCCTTTCTATTTAAAATCATTCTTGATAAAAATGTTGGATTTTATTGAATTATACATAAAAATATTATAATAAGCATGTTATGCTTATATGAAATTCTTTTTACAATTTTTCTTATTTTTTCAAATTTATTATCAGATATTATTTGATAAATTGAGCAATAAAAAAAAAATGTCTCCTTCCACTAAAACTCTATGAAAAATAATTTTTTCACAAAGTGCAAAGAATCCATTTTATAGTTTTATTTTTAAATTAACAATTATGTTGGAACAAAATAAATGACTGTTTTTAATCACAAATTTAAAAAAGAAAACAATTTGACACACACACACACACAACTTTATTATTCAAAGTAAGCACAATTAAAATCAACACAATAGCAATTTTTCTAATGGAAGTAATGGAATTTTATTAATCTGACAGATTTTTTTTTATCATTGTAAGCATTATTTTTAGTAGATACTCGTATTTGAGTAGATGTTCCATTTATTTATTAAATAGTATATTTATTTATTTTCATCTACCAGCCTGAATGTTCAAGAAATTTTATTAAATAAAAATTTGTGCTCTTCTGTAGGATTCAAACCTGAATTCCGCTGGGTAGAGGAAGCTACCACTAGATCTGGCACGCTCTAACCAACTGAGCTACAGATAGAGAACCAGTCAATCAGGCAAAGCTGAAATTGTGCCTTTAAGTGAAACTTCTCTCAACATAGATTATTTGAACATTCAAACCTGGTAGATAAAAATAAATAAATATACTGTTTAATAAATTGTTGTATTATCGAGGTGAATGTTACACAGAGAAGAATGAGTGCCTAATATATTTATTCAGCACCAGTATCCAGTGCTAACTGATACATAAAAAAAAAAAAAACAGAACAATAAGTTACAAAACAATTAACAAGACAACTTACAAGGAATAGAGGAGGGTCAAATGCTTTATAGCCAAACAAAGTGAGATGTTGTGAGTTTCCTGCGTGTCGGTGTATGAATCAAGACAAACACAGTTGTAGAGGAAAATACTGGTATATTCATAAAAACAATTAACAATAGAGTGATTAGTAGAACGAAGGTTGGTTAGTACGAAACAATATCCAAAGTCTATAGTCCAACGGTATGTACCGGGTAAGCTTATCTGGACTGCTCACGCTGACTCTCTCTCTGACGCTCCCCCACTCTCTCTCCAGAGCTGACTTATATAAGAGGGACCAGTCCATTACTAGTTAGAAGGTGGGTGCGCCCCAACACAAAGTAAGATCAATGTGAATATTAATCAGCTTAGTATCAACTAATTAATCAACTCCTTAATCATAGACTATTTAAGGCTATTATCCAGACTGCTGAAGAGGTGCTGGCCACTCTACATCTCTCCTTTGAAATTTTATGTCCCCTATTTCTATCTTTTAGAGTCTATTTCCATAGTACCCATTAGAATTCGTTTTTGCTTACTTGATTGATTCTGTGGTACTAGTTGAGGCATAGATACATTGAACATATCATAAATCACAGTCATAGATTCCTCCTCGCATTGATCTACGTCCACCATATATCTTTTTTTTTTTCTTTCTTTTTTTGATTTAAATATCTCTTAATCACCCATTTTAGATGTTTTATCAAATACAACATTTTGCCAATTCTTTTATCAATGGTTCCTTCTTCCCACGTTGCTTTTCCCAATTTATAATTCTTAAAATGTATTGTTTTGCTGGGGTTGTAGTGTTTACCATAGGTATTTTTTCTTTCCTCCATTTTCTTTTCTGTAGAAAAATTCATTTTTTCAAGCCAAATATAGTAGAGGGTGGTGGTTAGTTTGAAGAATGAACTCTCTTCCATGTATGTATTTGTGAAATTTCTTAACAGCAAATATCAGGCCTAACATCTCTTTTTCAATTTGTGAATAATTCATTTCTGCTGGAAGCAAAGTCCTCGAAACATGATGTACAGCCTTTAAGTAACCATCTTTTTCTTTGTGTAAGAATACGGCCCCTAAACACAGATTACTAGCATCACTTTCAACATAAATCTCTTTATTAGGGTCATGATGCGTGAGAGGTAGGTCCAGCATCAATGCTGTTTTTAAGTTATCAAAAGCCATTTGACAATCGACCAAC